GCTATCATATCCCAGATTCAGTACATTCTCCACATCATGTTGAAGTTCCTAAAACTCAGCACTAGTCCTATCACTTTCCTGTTCAGAAATCATCCATGCTTCCCCATTATCTACAGAATCATTCTTTTAAAACCCTATGATCTTATTCCAACCTACTTTTCCAAAAGTTGGTTTCCAAACTACCTTTCAAGAACCCCATTAAGAACCATTTATGCTTTAAAATATCCTACATCTAATATCCATTTCTACCTTCTCTCCTCCCTAAAATGCCCTCCCTTCCATTTCCATAACCACTGTTTAAGTCCCAGCTGAGATACCACCTCCTCTCAGAAGGCTTTCCTGCCCATCTCTTCTGTCCTTCAATTCGTCTAAAACCCTCTTCTGAAATTTATACTTTACCCTTGTTTTCTTTATTTAACATACTTTGGACCTCCTTGAAAAATACTGCAAGTTCCCTACTGGAATATCCTTAGAGTTTTCCCAGGCCCTCACACAGTGTTTGGGTGGATAGTAGGGATTCGCTACCTTTTTATAACATTTTTTAAATCACAAAAGTAATAGATGGACATGTAAAACATGTAAACAGGGCAAAGAAGTTATCAAATGAAAAGAATGAATCCAACAACCTTTCTCCCAACTAACTCCTCCTAAATTCCCCAGCTGTAATCACTTTAATAAGTTTCTTATATATCTTCTAGAAATGTTATATGAATATACAAAGATACAGATTGGTTTTTTTTGCTTTTTTTTGTTTTGAACCACAAATGAGGTCAGACTTTGCATCTCACCTTTTTCAACAACACTAGATCTTGGCGGTTTTTTGTTCATACCATATATGGATTTATCCGATCTTGTCAACACCTGGAAAGTATTATGCTGATGGTACAGACGTAGTCTTCAGGACTTCAGACTATTTCCATATTTGTGCAGTCATAATAGTAAGATATATTTTATTAGGGGAATTTTGAGTCAGAGGTTATACCCACATATTTTATGTTTTGGCCATGTCATCAAAGAGGCTGGTTTGGCATGTGCAGGAGTGTCTGCTTCTCAGCATGCTAATTACTTCTGGGTATTTTCATAGTTTTTATTTCTTGCTCATTAAATAGGCAAACTGGTATCTCAATATTCTTCTAATTTATATTTCTTTAATTATGAGTGAGATCTAGCATTTTTATCTTTCTTTTCATATTTCTTTTTCTGAGAATCTCCTGCCTTTGCACTTTACCCATTTTTCTATTGACTTTGAAAAGCTCTTTATGTATTAATAAAGTTTATTTTTTTCTGTTAGTTTGTCAATAGTCTTATTGACATTAAATGAATATTTAATTGATATTAAATGAAATCTGTATGTGTCTTGTCTTTTGTGTGTGTTTGTCTTGTTGGGAAAAAATATTTTACTTTTGTATACAGGATTTGGAAAAAATCAATAAAAAGAAGGCGAACAACTCAAACTAAAAATGGGTGAAAGGATATGAATATGCAATTCTCCAAAGAACTACCAATGGCTAAAAAATACATAAAAAACATTCTCAACCTCACTTGTAATATTTTCCTATATTTTTTAGCCATTTGTAGTTCTTAATTTGTTTCTAAACAAGACACACATACAGAAGAAAAGACACACACAATGACTGATTTCACTTAATATTAATTTTCAATGAACAAAAACAAATAGAAGCCAGTAACACATTAAGGAGAAAATACTCTATGTTCAAGTGTGGTCCAATCCAAGAAATCAAGGATGCTTCCAAGTTAGGAAAATTATTAGCTTAATTATATATTAATATGTCAAAGATTACAAACTGACTTAGCAGGGTTCTTTGCTAAAACTGGATTTACAGTGAAGTACATAGATAAGCCTAGAAGTTTCCAAAGCCTGACTAAAGTTTGACCAAGCAAAGAATCTTTGTTGCACAATGGATGAGCTTCTGTACTTCTGAGAATTAGGGAACTATAAAGACAAAAGTGATTGTCATTACTAATAGAACACATACAGATGTACTTGTATTTCTTTCTTTACATAGTGCTGGGGATTTAGGTATGAGAAAGATAGTCCGTATCACCAGCACCATGTAAAGAAAGAAATACAAGTATATCCCTATGTATTCTATTAGTTACAACAATCACTTTTGTCTTTAGTCAGGCTTTTAAACCTTCTCCTAGTCCCGTTTGTGCACTTCCTTGTAAAATCTCGTTTTTTGGCTTTTTTTAAAAGTTAAAAATTCCTTAATTTTTTATTCCTGGTACCACTACCACAATTTACAGGGCACTATACCTGATGTAATGAAAAGAAAAAGAAAAAAGACAAAGCTACAACAGATAAAAGACCTCAGAAATGTACATCTAAATTGACACTACATTGCATTAATTCATAGCTACACTTTTTGCAAGCTGTGGCTGTGACAGTCCTGAACAAGAAGGGTTTCCTGTTTGAGCTGCAGTAACTTTCCCAACTATGGATCATCGTTCCTTCTGTGACAGATTTTTGCAGTTCCTCTAATGCATTTGGGACGACTGTCTCAAAGTAACTTGCAGCTTTCCTGACAACTCCTTGCTCTCTCTTCTGCTAAGAACTGTAGCCCTTTTCTGCTATTTTTAAAACCTTCTGCTACCAAATCCACCACTTTCACCACCAGATCCACAACCACCACCATAGAGACTGCCTGAGCTTCGTCCACCCAAACTACCCCCCTTCATGGGTCCATAATTTGATTGCTGTTGTCCACTATAATTTCCAAAATCATTATAGTTCCCACCACCACAAGTTCTCACCACCAAAATTTCCTCCTTCATTGTAACCATCATGTCCCCTACCACTGCCACCATATCCAGCACTTTGGTTTCCGTATCCTGGTCCACCACCACCATAGCCCTATCTACTACTATCACCAGGACCACCGCCATAGTGGCCCACCTCACCTCCAAATCCATTATATCTGCCATCACCTCCTCCATAACTACCTCGGCTGCCACCACCTCCACCACCACAGCCTCCTCTTACACCAAAGTTTCCACCACGGCCAAAATTAGCTCCACCACCTCCAAAATTTCCTTCATGACCCATCAAGTTGCCAGCTCCACCTCCATGACATCTTTGTGATCCAGCAGACTGCATCTCTTGTTTAGAAAGAGCTTTTTTCACTTCATAATTATGCCCATTAATAGTTTAGTAGTTCTGAACAACAATTTTATCAACCGGATCATGATCATCAAAAGGTACAAAAGCAAAACCTCTCTTTTTCCACTCTGCCCATCTGCCATGACTTCTATGGTTTCAATCTTGCCATACTTTTCAAAGTAGTCTCTCAAATCATATTTTTCTTTATCTTCTTTCATACCACCAACAAAAATTTTCTCCACTGTTAGATGGGCACCAGGCTTTACAGAATGCTCTAGAAACAGCTCCCTTTGGTTCCACTACATGCCCATCAACCTTGTGAGGTCAAGCACACATTGCTGCATCCACCTCTTCAACACAAGAATAAGCCACAAAACCAAAGCCCCTGGAACGCTTGGTTTGAGAGTCTCTCATTACCACACAGTCTGTGAGTGTGCCCCATTTCTCAAAATGTTCTCTTAAACTATCACCCGTAGTTTCAAAGCTCAGACCATCAATAAACAGTTTTCTCCATTGCTCTGGTTCCTTTGGATCATGGCCCTCCTGCCCCTGGTGGCAGCGGTGGAGTCCGGCTGGGGGCAACAAGGCACCGGTCTTACCTCCATTTTGAGACGGGACTCGCCTCTTCCAACTCGAGTTCAATATGGGACCTGTAAAATCTAGTTGTAGCAAAGAGTCCTGCTAAGTCAATTTGGCAAGAATCCCTCAGCCTGGATATCTAATCATCCTCCATTCCTGATCGGGTTTCTCATCCTCCACCATCCTCAGGTGATGTCTGATCACTCTGGCCTCCTTAGCTAGAATCCTACTAGGATGATTTAGCCAGAATCCCGCTTACCCCTGCTGTTTCCTCTTAGTAGTTTTCCATCCACTGACCCCCGCCCTGCTACTTGGCTACAAATCCCAACTTGCCCATGCTGTGTTCAGGGTTGAACTCGAGCTCTCTCCCCCACTGCAAAGACCCCATTGCAACGGTCCCTATATCTACCGTGATGGTCCTGAATAAAGTCTGCCTCACCCTGCTTTAACAAGTGTCATTAAAGATTTTTTTTCTTAACAAGAGACACTTGGATTTTTATTCCTGTTAGAGGCAGAATGAAAGGTTCAGTAGTCCTCTACTTTACAAAGAAGAAAATACACAAAGATTGGAGGTTTCCACTGATATCTGTTAGGGATTGCTTTCTAAACTGGGTGTAAACAAATTCCTTCAGCAGGGTAGCTTGATACTGCGGCCTGGAATTTCATATTTAACCCAGACTCTGGACATGCCAGATGAGTTTTAACACAAACAAGTCACTTGAGAGATCCAGGTCTCTGTTTCTTCAGTTATAGAATGATGACCGCGTATGCTTGCCTTGATAAACCACAAGAAGGATGAAAAAAAAATGATGTCTGTTGAAGCCCTTTACAAATCTAACAAAATGTGAAATGTTATTAGTATTTTAAGTATTGCAAATGGATGCAGCAGAATACATAGTCTTTCAGACTGAAATGTCATAAAGGGCCCCTGGCCTTTTCCATATCAAATAAACAGCTCTCTGAAGGAGAGGACTTTTCTGGCATTTCTACCTTGTCTCCCAAACCTCCTCACCCCCCATGCTTCCTGCAGCCCTTCCCTTCACCCCCATCCACACCTCCTTCTGCTGCTATAGTGTCTGCTCGTGTGGCATTTCCACCAGGGAGAGGACGGCAGATGGAAGATCATGAATGGACACATTCCTTCCATCCTCTCCTGGCAGTGTCTAGCTATTTCTCACTCTACTCAATGAGGCTGCAAAGTCAGAGTGGAATACCAAGGAGTATTAATTCCTTTACTATGTGGCTGTCATTGCTACACTCAGCATAAGGTTCCAGATGCATGGACGATGAGGCTACTCACGAGACACAGAGGCACAGGACTCCTGGCATCGACTCGCTGTCTCTTAACAGAAAGTTGCCATCCTCCCCCTTCAGCAGCAAGGTCTCACAGTCTCGCTTGGTCAGAGGGCCGTGGTAATAAGGCAGATCCATGGAGAGGCCTCTCGTATGCCAGGCTGCTCTGTTAGCCTGAGATCCAGCTCCAATTCAAGGGACAGCTCTGAGAAGGGAAGTAGAGGCAGCTGTGCTGCTTCCTCCAGGGGGGCCTGCAGAAATACCTCTTCCTCCAGTGGCTGGTGGGAGTGAGATGAGGTTGTTCTGTGAGACTCAGTCACCTTCACAAGATTCAGGAAATGAGAAGGGTGGGGGTGATGAAGTGACCATGACGTTTCAGCCTGTAAGTGGCCAAAGTGTGACTCACAGAAGTTGGTAAGAGCACGTTTGAGTTTGCGGTGGGATCAGTGTTGTTCATGGCTGGGGCTGCAAGGCTGAAGTCAAGCTCCCCAGAACTGTGTCACAGATTTTTTTTAATCATCATAAATCACCAGTTTTCCACCTTCTTTGACTACTGGTATCCTTTCCAGGGAGCACAGCACTGCCTTTGCTGTAATGGGTGTCCATTTTCTGCTGAAGCTGCCTATGATTAGGCTATGCTTAGCTCAGAATGGGTGCTCAAAAAGTGTTCGGATGCTAAAAGAATTGATATGTCCAGACACAATGGGAAAATTGAAAAGGTGGAATTTCTACAGGTCAAAAGACTTGAAAAATGGAAGACATCAACGGGAATAGAAAGCAATTGGACATTATGGGGAAGAACAGCCTGTCCTCCCTGCTAGGCTGAGGCTCCTACTGCTGGTGAAAAGCCAGCACTTTTTAGAGGAATGGCTGAATTGATGTCTAGGGCAACAAATGTACAAGGTGATTCTGGGACATTCAGTTGTGTCAGGATGCAAGAAATATTGCAATGACTATTTTAGCCATATCAAAGGACATAAGAGCCACTATGGAAAAATTTAAGTATCAAAAAATAGTTATTGTAGTTGATGAATATATTATGTAGTAAAGATTTAACCTTACCCAAAGAAAGATTTGGCCCTTTGCCCTTGGCTCTGTGGAGATAACTCTAAGCCCTTGGAATATCCTTCCTGATAAGAGTGTCTTTGTTTACTTGGGCCATGCCAGCTATTGTGTGCAAACAATGTGATTTATGATGGGAGCTTTGGGCCATGTGGTATCAGCTCGATCTCTGGAGGTGCTGCAGAATAAGGTCAGTCAAGTAGGTGGTCAGCCATGTCTATGTTATGGTTTCCCAATAAAATCTCTGCACAACAAGGCTCAGGTGATCTTCCCTGGTTGGTAATGCTCCATGCATATTCTCACACTTTGCTGCTGGGAGAAATAAGCACTATCTGCATGACCCTACTGGGAGGGGACAACTGGAAGCCTGTGCCCACTCTTTTCTGGATTCTGCCCTATGTACCTTTCCCTGTTGCTGGTTTTAATCTGTATCCTTTTGTTGTGATAAATCATAACCTTGAATATAACACCTTTGCTGAGTTCTGTGAGTCCTAGCTAATTATTGAGCCTGAGGGTGGTTTTGGAGATTCTTTAACTGCATATATAAAACTTAAAGCCGGATCAGAAGCATTTTGGTTTTTTAACATGACTACACTCCAGAAAGAGCTGTATGGCTTTGCTAAGGAAAATATAATGGATGATGATGAAGGAGAGGTTGTGGAATACAGGGGTGACTTCTTGGAACTGGAGGAGACTGGCTAGTCTGAGTAACCAAACAGATTTCCTCAAATGTTCAGGAAACACAGATTCTTTGTCCTCCTTCTTCCAGTAGCTCAGGTTGTTGATACCTCACAACCTTCTCCATACTCCATAAAGTGAAAGAGAAGCTGCCATTTCTCTCATTACACATAACCAGGAGTGAGCCTGCCTTCCCTGTGTTCACACCTGCCTTCTGTGTTCACACCCACCTTCCCATCTTCACACCTATCTTTTCCTTCTTTACACCTGACTTCCCCATGTTCACACCTGTCTTCCCGTCTGTATTAGTCCGTTTTGTGTTGCTATAGCAAAATATGTGAAACTGGGTGATTTATAAAGAAAATAAATTTTATTTGCTTACAGTTTCTGAGGCTGGGAAGTCCAAAGTCCATCTGATGGTGGCAACAGTGACCCAGGGGTCTCACATTGCAAGATGGTGGAAGCAGAGAGAACAGAGAGGAGAAAGGCAGACTCTCCTCTTCTTTTAAAGCCCTCAGAACCACACCCCGGGTGACCGTTTTTAATCCATTCACTACTGCAGGGTCCTACAATTCAATCACCTCTTCAAGGCTCCACCTTTCAATGACCATAATAGGATTTCCTACCCTCTCAACAGTCACGGTGGAGGTTAAGTTTCTAATACATAAAACTTGGGGACACAATTTAAACTTCAGTGAGTTTTGGGGGGACATAATTCAGTCCACTACAACATCTTCACACCTGTCTTCCCCAGTTTATACCTGCCTTTCTTGTCATTTTGGTTTGAAGGACAGTCTTCCATGTTTTTTTTTCCAGAAAATCAGTATTTTTTTTAAATAAGAAAAGCACTCCTAAAAAAAAAGAAAAAACAAAACAAAAAACCCCCTAAATATTTCTCATTGTACTCAAAAAGACAGTAAGCTGTTTACCCAAATAAAAACAACCCATTTGTCACCATCATAAATAACTAAAACACTAGCCCTTACTCTGAAAAGAGGCAATTAAAAATGAATTAAGAATTTATTCTTCCTTATCTGTGTGAACCGTACTTCACAGTAACCATATACCATTAGCTGATTAAAGAAAATGTTTCTTTTCTACAGAAGAATTCCAGATAATAAATATGAGGAATAATAGAATATGAAAATCATCAGTCTTAGCATCTTTAAGAGCGGAACCAGACATTAAACGCCTACTAATTTGATGGAATATGAAACATACAGCACCACTATAAAGTGTACTTTTCAAAAAAGTTGAACTTGAAACTGAGCAAGCCCTTTGAACTAACTTCTAGTTTATGGGAACAGAGCAACAAATTAGAAGACATCATAAGGAAGCAGACAGACAAAATCCAGTGTGTGGGATATTCAATAGAACAGCTAACCTTGTTTCTACATTGGTCATAAAAACTGAGACAGATCATAGGGTGAAGATTGCTCTAGGCTAAAAGAGACTGTGAGGAATAAAACCAATGCAACATGAGAATGTTGTTTGGATCCTGGTTTGAAAAAAATAAATAAAATTCCCTGCCATTGGGGAAACTGAAGTATCAATTAGATATTAAATGATAACAAGAAATTATTGTTGATTTTTTTAGGTGTAGTCATGGTATTGTACTTATGTGAATAAATATTAATAGCTTTTAGAGACACATATTGAAGTGCTGTCTGATTCTGGGTGATTGTGTATGGGGTTCATTATGTTAGTGTCTCTATTTTTGTGTCTATTGGAAAATTTTCATAATAAAAATCCTTTCATTCCAATGTCATTCTGATCCCATGCTGAGAAGAGCTGCCTGGTACACGGGAACATCTTCAGTTTCTCACCTGGGTCTCCTTTCTCCCATCCATGGAAATAAAAGCCTAGCATCATGTTTGTAGAACGTGACCCTATCACACTGGCCATGGTTGAATGGACCATGGGTAGAGACCCCCGACCAAGGGGGTTAATCAGACACTCTTAGGTAGGAATTTGGGGGAAATGAGAAAAAGTAGAAGGAGAGAGGAAAACGAGAGAGAGAGAAAGAGAGAGGTGGCGGGGGTGGGGAGAGGAGGAAATGAGAATGGAAGTGGGTTCTTTAGGCACGGTATGTGTTTGCACTGTAGAGTGGTGGCTGTATCCCAACAAGCAGCCTGAGAAGATACATGGTCTGCAAAATGAAGCATGAAGTAGACCCACGAGGAGAAGAGAATCAAGAGGCAGTCCTGCTTGGGTTTCTCACACGTTTTCATCATTTCCTGGATCCAGTGATTTCTGAGGTCTGACTACACTCTGGTTCTTGGTTTTTTGTTTTTTGGGTTTTTTTTGTCATTTTAATACATTTCCCTTTTGCCATAAGCTAGTTGGCATTGGTTTCTGTTATTTTCTACTAAAGACATCAAATAAATCCAGCCTTACAAACAAAATTCTGTTATCAAGATCAAGGGAGCATGAGGCCAAATATGAGTCATAGGGTTACGTAAGTAAGCAGTCATGTAGAAACTGGACAACCTGGCTGTCAATGCCAGAAGGTCCAAGATCATCACTGACCATGACGGCATGGTGAGTGCTTGTGTTGTGCTTGTTAAAAGATGCTTGATTGGGGCAGACATTGTAAGGCCTCCTGCTTCGTTTCTACTCTCTTATTTTAGGAGATAGCATTTTATTTCCTCAAAGAGCTAACCCATGGCACCAGCATCATTCACTGAACACGCTGTAAGATGAGACCCTGATATTTCTGGACGTTCCATGACTGTCAGGGCATAATTGACTATGTGAGAGGCAGTGTTGTGTAGTGGTTTGTCACAAGACTTTGTAGACAAACCGCCTAGATTTGAATTCTGGTTCCAACACTTAGTAACTACTGCAAGTTGCTTAAATTTTTGTGCCTCTGTTTTCTAGAAAATGGAGATGACAATTTTAATTATCACACAGGGGTGTTGAGAAGATTAAATGAGGATATATATACATAATGCACCTGGCACATATTAGAGCTTGGTTTGCTATTATTGTCCATATTTAAGAGATTCCGGATAAAATGCTCCTTTCCCTTGTCTGCATGATGGTGCTTCTGGATGGGATGCCTGTATCTTCGGTAATCATCCTGGGACAACAGTGGTGGCCTGAGGTCCAGACTGCTTGCTGAGAAGGGCAAGGCAGAAAAAGAGAAAGAGTCTGGGTCCTAGACAAGGGCATTGAGCTGCTTTACCAACCACCTAGAAGCCCATCCTCTTCTGGACTTCCAGATGGGTGGGAGATTAAATTTCCTTACTGTTTAAACAATTTGGGTTGAGGCTCATTTCTGCAGTAGAAAGGATCCTAACAGATACACTGACACATGGCACTGAATTTTTTGTATTAGTTTGAATATTACCATCATTGATTTTTTCAATATAATTACTCATCTGCTAACATTGTGT